ATCCATCCATCCATCCATCCATCCATCCATCCATCCATCCATCCATCCATCCATCCATCCATCCATCCATCCATCCTTTATTCATTTTTTTATTTGGCGCCTCATGGACAATTATTTCTGCTCTAATTTATTCTTCACTGATTGTAGATTCTGTAAGCCAAAGTTTTTAGATATTCTTTAAAGTTGTAAAATATATACATTTTTTTGTCTGGTGATCTGAAGGTCCACATTCCAACTTGATCAACTGACGTTGGTTGTTCCAAGATCTCAGCTGAAACTATAGGGGAGCGAGTATGTGCTGTGGCTGCTCCGACGCTCTGAACTGTTTTCCTTTAAATAGTAGAACAGCCCAGTCACTCTGTATTCTACGTCTTTGTTAAAAATCTACATGTGCTCTATAAATCATTTTAATGATGACTTTGACCTGACTGTACCGCTCCATCCTGCAGGATCAGCTTTGTTGTTCCTGTACACTAATTTCTGAACGTCACCAGTTGGATTTTAAGTACGAGTCATGATCTCAGTGTATGAGCAGCTAATACAGGAGATTCTCACAGTATTTGGTAGTATTAGTATTAAGTATCTATATACACCATCAAATAAACTGTGTCTATAAACCCAGTTAGGACAGCTAACTGAATGCAGCTCCTCTTGGTGGGCTGACCTTCATGTTCTCTCAGTGATCAAGTGTCATCAAAGAGCAAGAGTGTGTTGGAATTAGGATGCAACTCAATATGATGCTCAGAGTTTGTGTTTTGGTCTGAAATGAGGTTAAATGAATCAAAAGTGGTTCTTCTTCTGTGGTCCTGCAAATGTTTAATATTAGAGATCGACCGATAGAAGTTTTTTGATGCTGATACCTTTACTCATTAGTTTGAGAACATTCTAATCCAGGGCTTTGCAACCTGCAGTTCTGACTCTTTAGATCTTTACAATGGCTCTAACAGTGGTTTAAATGATGAAGGACTAACCATTTGATTTGGATAAAGTAAAATAATAAATACCAGTCTCAGAGGTTTCAAGTTTTTAGGAATTAAATTAACTGAAAGTTTACAACAGAAGAAGATAATAAGAACCGGAAATATGTTTTTCCGTCTATTAGCTTGGAAAGTATGAAACTCTGATGGATGATCAGAAAGCTTGGAGAAGAATAACATTAAACTTCCTGCAGGGGAAAAGTTGGAGCTCAGAAACGTTCAGTAGGGATGAACAAACAGATTCCTGCTTAGATCAGAACGTTGTTCAGAAAGTGGCAGCTGGATCCAGTCTGAAGCATCTTGGTTTCTGTTCCCAGCTTGTTTCCTCTGAGCCATGCAGATATTTAACAGCTTTAATTTGAGGCTCCTGTAGAGCTTTAGACCAGCAGCAGTGGAGTCATGGTGTTGGAATGTAAACAGATGGAGGAAAAACTGCTAATTATAAGCTGCTGTCACCAAATCTTTACAACTGCAGCTCTGTGAATAAATCTTCTGTAATTCCCAAACATGTCGGGATGTTCTGAGTGACTCAGAAATCCGAAACCCAGACGGACGGACAGGGGGAGGAGCTGAGGACAGACAGACACAGAGTCTACCTTACCGTTTGCTGTTAGAGCTGAAACCTTTGGTCCTCCTGGAGCTCTCAGAGAGATGTGTGTTGCTGCGCGATGACACTGAGTTTGTGTGTCTGTTTTAGAACCGATGTGTAGAGCAGAGCTGTGAGGAAGAGGAGGAGGAAGGGGGAGACAGGTCCAACATGTGTCTTCCTGCCTTGGAGAAAACGCTGCCAACCTGCTGCAGGGAATCTGAGCCGATTTAAGAGCAGAAAATAAACTGAAGGGGAGGTCACAATCAGGTCAGAGGTTCTGCAGGTCCAAACATGGATCACTGAACAAAAATAATCAGAAATATAATGATGATGGAGGATTTAATGAAACTCACACTAAATCATGATCTTCACTGAGACTTTAAAGTCCTCCTGTGATCAGAACCAACCTTCTGCTGTTTGCTGAAACCTGGAGGTCCAATAGATCTAAGAACCTCCTGAATAAATGATGACAGTCTGATCAGATAGAGTACATACACTTATGGCTCCATATCTGCAGTGTGTGGCGCCCCCTTCAGGCCTGAAATCACTGAGTGACTCAGTCACAGGTC